ACATAAAAGAGGAATGTGTCAGGATTTTGTAAATGACTCATTACATGGTTATTTTTGTATTTGCCAGAACTGGGGACACAAAGACAGGAGTTCAAAGTGTCTGTTCTGTTTTAAAATGGCACTCTCAAATTGGCACCCAAATTAGGTGGTGGATTCTACCTAAAATGACAGCAGGTTTATTAGTTGAAGAAACTGAGACTCAGCATGTGGGACACTGTTACTACTACTGTGGTCACTGCTGATATTGGAAATACCTAATCACACCCACTTATTTTGAGTACTTACATGTGCAAGTCCCCATGCTAAGTATTTAAAAACATTATCTCCTTTAATTCCGGTAACAATCCTGTAAGATTGTGTTGTTATGGTCACTAAACAGCAACATAAATATATAAACACACAGAGAAGACTAAAAAAAGTGAGCCTAACATTAGCTCATGAGATGGACAGCTGTGTTAAACAAACTGTATTCAGTGATCTTTATTTTTTCTGTCCTTCAAAAACCTCTATGGGAGATAGCTTTCCATTTTACAGACATGGAAACTGAGGCCTGAAACTAACTTGCCGTATAGGGCAGAGCTAGTTAATGGCTGAGCTGGCATCTGAACCTGTGTCTACCCGAATCTTCAGATGGCAGTGATAGACAGGTAAGAATTGCCAGGCTTACTGTAATTGATTCATTCCATTCCACTGGCTGTTGGTGAAGCCCTGATCCAGCAGTGGCTTGAGTATTTTCTCTGCTCTGCTTATCAGTTTTTGTTCCTGTGTTCAAGTTTCTGAGTCAAATGTTGATTCACTTTTCCAGGACGTGGGAGCTATTTTCAATATGATTGTTCAGACTTTTGCTCATTGCTTCTCTAAGCTTTGCTATTTAAGAGTTACATGCCCGATCTAAGGGTTACAGAAGCACTGGGAATGTGACTAGTTAACTTTATTCAATAAAGCTACTTGGGTTTAACATACGTTAGTTACATTTATGAATATCTAGACAGACAGGGAAATTGTTTTGATAAACCTTTTGAGCTCCTCTATTAAATTATGCAAGTTTATCTTAAGTTGACATATCTATCCTAATAAATAAAGTTTCAATATCAGAATGAAACTCTCAAACAGATCCTAGTTCACAGGTGCAGTTTTAGAGAAACCTTCTTAACTGCAGAGCAAGTTATACAAATTATACAAATATGTGTAGGTACATCTGTTGAGAAGCTTGTTCTCCTTTTTCAGATAAATACATACATCTTTCAAATAGAAGACCCCATTTTTGTGATTTAAAATTTAATATACACTTAAAGAATATGTATATCTGTGGAAAGTGCTGTAAATATTTGTACATGAATATACTATTGCTTAGGTCCACGTGGCAAAAGACTGACATGAATCAAAAATAAGATTTTTGATTATAGATAGTATATTATTTATACATCACAGATCAATAGATATTCAAATGTGTATATACCAATCTATCATTGCCAATTGAGTCTATAAAATAGATTTATTTCTTTAATAACATATTTATAAATCAGAATTTAAATTGCTTATAAATTAACCTCACAATAAAAATTACCATTTTGAAGGACATAAAAATTACACCTTAGAGAAATTTAGGATAAATGAAACAACAGAATTTTTTAAATTCAGAAGATAATGGCAATATTTTTGTATTGTGTGTTCATTATCAGTTAGCAAATTTGACATAAATTGAAGTAGGCACACAAATTACCATATAAGTTGCATTTCCATCTATTTCCCATATACGTATAGACAGTATACTTCATTAATCAAGGTATGATTATATACAGGTTATATACATTCTAGTTAATTTGGATATTACTTTTAACTATTCACATAAAAATACGTATATATACAAATACACTTATATATTAATAATTTACTTTGTTTTGCATTTATTATAGGCACATGCACATGAAATTTATAGATTGTCCTTTGAAAGGACAGATTGACCAATGACAGTATGTAACAACATTTTGTATAAATGAGTTTTGCATTTAATCGGTTTTAATTTATATAACTATTTTGATAATCCTACATTTAAATATAAATACATGTACTGGTGGAATTCACCTGCGAAGCCATCTGGTTCTGGACTTCTGTTTGTTGGCAATTTTTAAATTGCTAATTCAATTTCAGTACAGGTAACTGGTCTGTTTGTATTTTCTATTTCTTCCTAGTTCAGTCCTGGGAGACTGGGCCTGTCTAAGGATTTGTCCATTTCTTCCAGGTTGTCCATTTTATTAGTGTATCATCATTCATAGTAGTCTCTTATGGGCCTTTGTATTTCTGTGGTGTTGACTGTAACTTCTCCTGTTTCATTTCTGATTTGATTGATTTGGGCCCTCACCCTTCTTTTTCTTGATGAGTCTGGCTAAAGGTTTATCAATTTTGTTTACTTTTCAAAAAACCAGCTTTTAGTTCCATTGATCTTTTCTTTTCTTTTTTTTTTACGTATTTTATTTATTCTGCTCTGATCTTCATAATTTCTTTCTACTAACATTGGGTTTTGTTTATTTTTATTTCATGGAGAACAGTAGGAAGGCTCTTTAAAAAATTAAAAGCAGAATTTCCATACGATCCTGCAATCCCACTCCTGGGAATGTATCCAAAGAAAACTCTAATTTGAAAAGATATATGCACCTCAGTGTTCATAGGAGCACTACTTACAATAGCCAAGATAGATGCAACCTAAATGTCTATCAACAGATGACTGGATAAAGAAGATGTGGTGTATATATATATATATAGAGCTAAACAATGGAATATTACTCAGCCATAAAAAGTAATTTAATAATGCCATTTACAGCAACATGGATGGACCTAGAAATTATCATATTAAGTGCAGTAAGTCAGAGGAAGACAAATATCATATATCACTTATATGTGGAATCTAAAAAATGATACAAATGAACTTATTTACAAAACAGAAAGAGACTCACAGACATTAAAAAAAAAATTATGGCTACCAATGGGGAAAGTCGGAGTGGGGGAGGGACAAATTAAGAGTTTGGGATTAACACAGACACAGTACTATATATAAAATAAACAACAAGGACCTACTGTATAGCACAGGGAATTATAGTCAATATCTTGTAATAACCTATAATGGAAAAGAATATGAAAAACAATATATATACACATATGTATGTAACCTGAATCACTTTGCTGTACACCTGAAACTAACACAACATTGTAAATTAACTACACTTCAATGAAAAGAATTTAATTAAGAAAAAGAAATATATATATTACATTGTTTAAATTGAAGCATTTTTCTCTCTGGAATTAATTTATTTGAAAGGTTAATAATGTATAAAAATTATCACAGCAAATTTGGTTGTTATTATTATTATTATTATTGGTTTTTGTGATATGGAAAGGATACTTGAGTTATATCTAGAAAAATAAGCCTGTGATACACTACTACTAACTATGGAGCGGGAAGAGAGGAGCCTGTATGAAATGTATATTTGAGAAAAACTAAAGCATTTAAAATGTTTTTAATTTATGTGAATGTCTCAAGGGTTACTTCAGCAAAGTAACATTAGTAGTAAAGATGATCGTTGAGTGGTTACTATATCCAGAAACTGTGCTAGAGTCTCTTTACATTCATTTTAAAATTTTATCATCTAACATTTGTATGAGGCATTATCATTAGCTTTACATTGTAGATTGAGATATTGAAACTAAGGCAGATCAAGTGACTTGCACAAGACGATTTAACAAATACGTGTTTTGGAAGAGAGTAAACTTATGAAGGATGTCTGGGAATTGAAACTTTCATACATCGGTCTGTCAAGGACAAGCCAGTGATTATGTTCTTGTCCTTGGAATGAATTTTAAGGGCATCCAGAATATGTTGGGAGGATACATTTTGGGGGAGCTGAATGTGTGATTTGTTGGCATCTCTCCAGACATACACCAGAAGATACTAGCAGAGATGTTCACACAAAACCATGGAGATCACATAGACTTGGATAAAATGAAGCAAGCCTTTTGAATTGCTTAATTTGCTGTTTCTTCCTTAATAGTCTTGTTTATTTGCATTGTCACTTTACACAGATGTATATATTAATTGTTTTCAAGCAAGGCCCAGTTTGATGTGAAATCATTATAATGTTAATCAGCTTTTTTATGCATGAAATATAGAAAAGAAAGAAGAAAGAGGTGAAAACTTAGAAAATAAGGGAAATTAACTAGAAAAATAAATAAAAATAAGAGCTTATGTAACATTGTAAAATGACTATAACTCAATTAAACAAATGTTGAAAAAAAAGCTTATTAAATTGGAATCAGAGAGGAAGTTGATCAGTATAAACTTTGAACCTTAGAAAACTTCATTTCTTATAATTGATCAAAACTACTTGTCAAAGGGTAAAAAAAAATCTAATATAGCCCCATCTGTTTAAAATCAATGAAAAATGTAGGAGTGCTTTATAACTAACTTTTATAAAGACTTCCTTGGTTCTTTGAGTTTTAAATGTGAGAATGGATCTGGGATAGTCTGTCAAGGAAGGCACAGAGAGTCCCAAGGGGCCACAGTTGGAGCGGCAAAGCGCCATACTGAGATGGGAACCATGCGGGCAAAGGTGAGCTGGCTAGTGCAGAAAAAGATACAGGGTGAAAAACATTGAGACTTAACCAATTTGAGTCTACAGTGAGTTTAGAGTTTATAAAACTTGGTACAGAAAAATATACTCAACTGAAAAATTCTGGTGAAGTGTCCTGTGCAGAGGCAATATAATAGGAATTACTGCCAGATAAATGCGTTCCTTTTGTAATACAGCCAAAGTTTTCAATTCTGGTTATTAATGTTTTCTCGATGAAGTTGCTCTATAAATAGTTATCACTGTATCAGGCTCAAGAGTCAGTCACAGCCCTTTTGTGCGTAACCCTTTACAGTTATGGCACAAGAACTAAAATTTTTAAAAGCCTTGGAAGGTGAAACACAGAATTAAAAGGTATATTGATAAGGATTCTAAACCTTAGCCATTGGAATGAGCCTTAATTGTTGTGGAGCAGCAAGAAAATAACAAACCCTATAGCACACCCTAGCAGAATATGGTCAAGTATAAGCAGGGGTGAGTTTATTGGTGTCTGATAATTAGAAGGTATGTTTCACCCTATGTGCACAGCGTTGGAGAGCAGTACAAACATCCTGTTGCCACTGCTACAGAAAGGGTCTTGGATATCCAGCGAAAACACTTAGCAACCAGAAGGCTCTGGCCAGTGGGAGCCCAACGAGATGGAGTCTTCCTTTATCTAACCTAGACTCACATGTGTAATTATTCTGCTCTGTCTGTGGATTACAGTTTCCCTCTTCAGTCCTACTGCTCACTGCCGCTCACAAAGCCTCCTTCATAAAGTCCACTGGACAAGGATACAGTTCTTCTTGGTCTAGGTTTCGCCCTCAGAATGCTGTATCCGTGGAAGAAGTCTGAACACAAAGATTCCGCAGCACTCCACCTATCAGGGAGCTCCCGGAGGGTTCTGCTTTGTGACGCCTCATGGAAAAGAATGGTCATTTGCCTCGCAAGTAGCCTCTGGGCAGCTGCCTTGGAGCCATCAAGATGCCTAAGTCTCCTCTTCCAGAAGCCATTTTATCTCACATGGTAGCTATAAGCAATGTGCCTCCCCCTCCACCTCGCAGCATCCCAAGTGAGTGGGCAGCACATGGAGGGTCTGCATTGTTTCCAATGGTACTGACTCCAGATACAAGAAACGGGGCATTTAAGGGTTGGTAGGGACTCCAGGAATTCTTTTTTTTTTTTAGTACAATCAATTTACAATATTGTGTCAGTTTCTAGTGTAGGGCACAATGTTTCAGTCATACATATACATATATATATTTCTTTTCATATTCTTTTTTATTATAAGTTACTATAAGATACTGAATATAGTTCCCTATGCTACACAGTTTAAACATGTTGTTTATGTATTTTATATACAGTAGTTAGTGTCTGCAGATCTCAGGCTGGGATTCTGGGAGATCCATCTACTGATGGTAGAGTGGAAGGGAAAAAACAGAGATGCGCTAGTACTGCTTTGTCCTCCTGAAGCCAGTTCCCTTCTCTGGGTCTCCAGGATTTTACTTAGTAAAATGAGGATCTTTATAAACTCTCAGAGCTTCAGATAACAAATACTTTTAGAGAGGAGAGAAGTCAAGGGCTTAGAGAGGTCACCCAGTTCACTGGTGATCAGGCCCCTTGTTTGTGGCGGGACTTCTGGTGCCTACCAAAAGTTACTTTTACTGCCCTTTGTGAGATAAATAATACATTTTCACCAGGAGGATTTGTATGTAAAATTTTCAAGGAAAAAAAAGATAATTCCTATTATTTTTGCTCTGAAATTTATTCCCTTTTAATTTTGCCATCTCTGATTTATAATATTATAGGAATTATAAATATAGAGTTAAATATTTAGAAGTTTATACAATTTACATTTTCTTATTTTATATCATCAAGGTAAAGCCAGAACATTTTTCTAAAGACTTCATTTCACAGCCATCAAATTCATAGATTATTTGATCACCAATATACCGACTAATAATATGCAATAGTCCTAGAGATAATTGAGATTGTAAAAGTCGTTAAGGTAACAGTGGTAATAATTATGATCCTTTCAACTTCAACGAAGAATTTATTATTTTAGCATTTATTGGGTAGATCTGTGGATTTTGAAAAGCTAACCCATCTATTCTTTTACCTTCCTGTGAGAGTTGACTCTTTTAAATATGTATATTTTAAAATTAATGATAGTCTCCAGGGAAAAATTTGCCACAGGTGACAACTGATACCCTTTGAAGGGGCATACTTATGTCTTGAACAGTGTTAGACAAATTCATTATGTTAAATTAAATGAATCCCTACCTATGTCACTTTAATATGCTTTCATTATTATTGTAAAAAACCTCTTGTGTGTAGTCAATATTATATTTCAATGCAAGTTGAAATAAGTATTAAATGTAATTTTGCCAAAAACCACAGTTTCTACTGTACAGAAAAAAAAAAGCCCCCTTAAGACAGTTTCTGTTTTTAGCAGCCTAGGAAGTACAGTAGTTGGGAGTTAAAAGATCAAATTAATTTAGAATCAGTGGGATGACATGTGTGCTGCCCTCTGTAGTGCCTCCCAAGGACACTTCACTTGTGCGAAGTGATTAAAAGATGAAAAATCAGCGGCAATTTAGATCTCAGAGCTGAATAGAGCATAATGGAAAGCAGGGGAGCTCTCTCGGTTTTCCCTTCAGAGGTTCCTGCTGGATGTTCTATGTGTGACTTCTCTTTGGAGATGTGTCCTGCTTGCTCAGTAGCTGTGTCTCTGTGCTAAGTCTAGCAAGTCGACCATTTCCTTTAGCAAGCTCTGATTGTCACTGCTGAAACATGATCTCATGGAAGCCTACGTGAGGGTACTTTCAATCCATCAGATGGCTGAGCCTGAATTATAAAGGAGATAGAAATGAGAGTCATTCAAAATGCAATGGGAATAAATAGGAAGATTCCATTAAGGACCTTAAAGATAATCTAGCCATTTTTATACATTCTTGTTTATTTTGGATGAGGTTAGCTAGGCTACATTTAGTGAGTCATGTCTACCTTCTCCATAAATTTTGTATGTGAATAACATTTACTGAGGGCTTTCTATAAGAAGTTATGTTGTTATATATTTGGCATGTTATAGTGTTATTTCATTTATTTCTCATAAGAACCTGTGAGCTCTGTGGTGGGTGGAATGATGGTCCCCAATGATGTCCACGTCCCCTGAACCTGGGAATACGCTATACTACTGGTCAAGTGGAATTAAGGTTGCAGGTGGAATTTTTTAAAATTATTTTTATTTTTTTCTCCTTAATGGAGGCACTGGGGTTTGAACCCAGGACCTCGTGCACACCAAGCACGTGCTCTACCACTGAGCTGTACCTCCCACCCCCGGAAGTTGGAATGAAGGCTGCTAATCAGCTGATCTTGAGTTGGGAGAGTGTTCTGGATTATCTAGTGGGCCCTCCATAATCGTAAGCATCCTTAGAAGTGGAGGAGGGAGGCATGTGTGTTGGACGCAGGGTGAGAAAGGCTTGACTAGCCATCTCTGGCTTTGAAGATGGAAGGGAGACCTAAGCCAAGGAATTCGGGCAGTCCCAAGAAGCTGGAAAAGGTAATGAAATGTATTCTCCTCTAGAGCGTCCAGAAAGAATGCAGTCCTGGTGACAATTAATTTTAGCCTGAGACCTGTTTCAGAGTTCTGACTTCCAGATCTGTCACATACTAAATTTGTGTAGTATTTTTTTTGCCTGTGTGTGTTTTCTTTCTTTCTTTTTTTGTTTAACATTTTTATTGATTTATAATCATTTTACAATGTTGTGTCAAATTCCAGTGTAGAGCACAATTTTTCAGTTATACATGAACATATATATATTCATTGTCACATTTTTTTCTCTGTGAGCTACCATAAGATCTTGTGTATATTTCCCTGTGCTATACAGTATAATCTTGTTTATCTGTTCTACATTTTGAAATCCCATCAATCCCTCCCCACCCTCCACCCCCTTGGCAACTGCAAGTT